CCCTTTATTTTAATAACATTAAGATAAAATAAAATATATTTAAATATTAAGAGATTCGAACTTAAACGCTTACATCGTTGTTCGTGAAAGGAAATAACTTTGAGGATGTTTTTTAATATCAACACTGTCGGGAAGGATTTCTCAAGATTCATTATTTTAAAATTAGTCCACTGACAATTTTGTTTGTTTGTTTGAGTACATTTCATTAAAACAATAAATAATTTAACTAATTACAAACTACAAGAGGCTTACTGATTAAACAATAAATAATTTCATCAATTGCGAATTTCTTATCTAATTATTTTATCAAAAAATGTACTAAAATACATTAAGTACGAGTGAAAAGCTTGTGAATCAGCAAAAATACAATATATGATATTTTAATTAAAAATTAAATTTAATATTAAACAATAAATTAGTTAACGATCATTAAATCTCCAATGATTAAAAGATAATTTATTTTAAAGGATATCTGTAACTAAAAAAATAGAATAATTAATCAATTAAACATTTTTATTCCAAAACGTTGCAAAGAAAATGACGTAAAATTAAGAAAAATAAAATGCCTAATTTTAAATCATATCTTTTCATTTTAAAATTCGAAGTGCAGTCGGATTAAACTAGGAGCAGAAATGCACGTGGCATAATAAAAATCTGTGAGTGTCACCTAACCGCATTTAATATTGGGAAAATCACTTTTGGCATCCCTGCCATCTTTTTTTGTTATTTTCCAATTTTTATAACATGAAATTTTGTATGTATTGACATATAACATATTGTCGATTTTGTCAGACTGTCACGTGTACACAGATGATTTTGCTTCGCAGCTTGTTCCACCTAACCCCCTCAATTAATAATTCCTTGCCGCATCTCGATGGGATGATTCACCTAACACTAGTACTGGAAATTACCATTTAATCTTCTAATCATTGCGCTTTAAATATTACTATTAAATAATATAAACACGATGCCAATGTAAAAGTTAAAATTAAAATAACTTTTGAGCAGGTCGAGTTTTATTAGAGGCGGCGGGACGGTTACATAATTTTATATTAGGAGTCGAACTTTAATTTATAAAATTTAAAGGTTAAAATAATTTTTTAATAAAAATACATGATAATTTTAAATTTTTAAGGGAACGATCACCTTACCCGTCTTGCCTAAGTCAACCCCGAAAAGACGGTGTCAAGTTCAATTTTAGAGTGAATTTTTATATTTGTTTCGAAATGATTGTATAATTTTATTATATATATTTAGATATATTTATTAATTTTTTTATGTTTTTAATTAGGTGTTTATTTTATTAAATAAAAATGTTTTTTTTATATTTATATTAGATGTATATTTTATCTTGAAAATCGATTCAAAAATTCGAATCAAATAATTTTTTAAAATTCAAATTAAATTGAATTTATCTGAAATAATATAATTCTCAGATTTAATTGAAAATTTGATCTATAACCAGGGATGGATGGAGGGGTGAGTGGAGCAGTCGCCCCTGAATTTTTAAAATTATTATATGTTTTATATTTTTTCTGTGATTTTTATTGAAAATTTGTTTTCATCCCTTATAATTTTATAAGTTCAAAAATCATCCCCTAAGATTTTTAAGTTCAAGTTCGTCCACTAGAATTTTAAAAGTTCAAATTTATTCTCTAACATAAAATCCAATCTCAGTCTATGTCTACATTAATTTAAAAAAATAATTACAAATACAATAATTTGAGTAAGGTCATTAGTCTAGCCGGTATCTTATTTTAATTAATCATTGATATCTGATTCATTGACCGATTAATTTAGATCAGATACTGTAGAGACAATGTCGACCCTCCTAACCTAATTTGTTTCATTCATAAACGTCAGGATTCGAACTCCTAATTTTACTTAATAAACTTAGTACCTTATCCTACCATACTAGCAAGTTGTTGGTTGGCCACTATCTTATCTTTAGAAAAAGGAAAATTATAATATTAAAAAGAACATTATTTGTTGTAGTTTGAACAATAATTGCTCGACATAAAACAAGTTGCCACTTAGTAATTGATGTTGATTTCCCCAAATTACCCCCATGATTAGATCATAAATTCAGCAAACTCACACTTGAGGGATTGTTTTTTTAAATATATAATTATATTTAAAACATATTGTAATATAAATTAAAATAAATTTAAAATAAACCAGTTTAATTAGAAGAATGCACGTGGCGTAACAAAAATATCTTTGGTCCATGGCAATAATTTTTTTACGTTTGTCATATTTGGTTTGATTACCATTTTTATAATATGAAAATTTGTATGTATTATGATATTTCAATCTCGTCACGTGACCACTAATATCTCAAAATTAAGCCCCTTAATATAAAGATTATTGGCTTCTTCCCGATTGGTATGTTTTTTTAATTAATCAAAATGGTATTCGATCTATTGATCGAATAATTCAGATAGAGTACTACAAAGGCGATGACGACCCTCTCAATTCAGTTTACATCATTCGTAAACATCAAAGTTTGAACCTTTGACATTGTTTAAGAAATTTGGTGTCTCATCTCACTAAACCAACTAATTGTTGTTCCGATTCTATGTTCTTTTATATAATGTTTCCGACACAATTGATTTTCAGGTAATTACGCGTTTAATACCTAAATTATCAATTTTTGTATATTTTAGTATATGAATTTTTACTTTTTTTAAAAAAATTATACCTAAAGTTTAGTTTTTATTTAATTTTAGTACATGATCATCAAAAACTTTAATTTTTGCTTTATTTTAATACCATGTTAAAAATTTACCATTAAGTTTTAAAAAAATTTGAAAAAGTTTAGGTACTAAAACGAATCATAATTGATAATTTAAACACTAAACACATCAAAAAATGTAAATATAAACTAACCTTTAAGTTTAATTTTTAAAAAATTTAAAAGTTAGATACTGAAACAAATCAAAATTGATAGTTTAGATATTAAATAAGTAGTTTACCATTGATTTTAGGGTAAAATATATAAATAGTCCCCAAACTTTGAGAGCACATATATTTTGGTCACCTAACTTTTAAAACTTACAATATAATTATTAAACTTTTAATTCATCACGTTACCTCCATCAACTTTTCTTTTTCTCCAACAGAAAATTAATCAAATCTAAAAAACCAAACAATATATACATAAAATAGGGAATAAAAACACTGTAGTTCACAAACCCACTGTCTTCTTCATATCGTCTAGACCCGATTCTTTTAGCTTTTGGTACTCTCTACACTTCAATGGAAGATGAACCCTGTAACCCCAATTTTATTTATTGATTACATTGCAAGGAGACTTGGTGTAAAAGGTGTAAACCCCAACAAATAAAACAGATGAAAACAATAATTTGAAAGAAACCCAGAGGTGAAAAAGAAAGAAAGAGTACAAGATGTTCATTTAACGAAAGAGGAGGCCGAGAATGGCAAGAGAGCAAAGGAGAACGATTAAGACATCGGAGAAGAGAGAGAGAGAGAGAGAGAATGGTTGAATTGCGGTAGGCACAATGGTAGTACACCAAAGTACCACATACAAGCATGCTTTGCTCACTTCGCTCCTCCCTTCGCCTTCAATCATCTCTTTCTTGTTCAACTTGGATTGTTTCAAAATTTTGATTTGCAGTTGGAGCCTGGAGGCTTAATTTTCAATTTCTCATTGGCTGCCCCCGATGTGGAATGAGATTTTAGATGCCTTGACTCGTGTTCTTTCTGTTCTTTTCCTTTCCTTTCCTTTTGTTCTTAATCAATGGATAAAATATAGGATTTGGGTAACTGGGTTGATCTCCAAAATCCTAGCGGTTTTGGGTGTTTGGTTTACTCACTATTTTATGTATATATTGCTTGAGTTTTTGTATTTGATTAATTTTTTGTTGAAGAAGAAGAAGAGGAGGTAACGGAGGTAACGTGTCACGTCAGCCCTAACTAACAGAAGATAACGGTAATTACCATACTGAAAATAAACTAAAATATTACTGATTGAGTTGTAAGTTTTGAAAGTTAGGTGACTAAATACAAATGTCCTAACAATTTGAGGACTATTTATATATTTTACCCTTAATTTTATTTTCGAAGGGGACCACATTCCCCACATCAAACAAAATATTAAAGCCTTGATAATTAAATTATTATCATGAAGTCATCAAACAATAATTCAATCAATTAAAATATTAAATACATTGAAAACAATAAAAAGAATTAAATGAAGTCAGATGAATTTTTTTCCTTTTATTCAAACAAATAAATATTTATAAAATATTTATTTAATGAAGAAACCATGATCCACTTCAGGAAGTGGGCCAAGCGTTCTATGAAGACAGTCAACACCTAAGCTCTGTTATGTTTTCTTTATTTACCATTAAAAAATACATTAATTATTATTATTATTATTTTTTATATAATATATATAATTTATTAATCGATTAATTCAAATTGAATATTAATCGAATTTAATTAAATGAATAATGAGATGAATTCTAATTTACAAGATTCCAATTTAATTGTAAAATTATAAAAATAATATTTTCTATAAATAATAATTATTATATACTGATACTTTTTATCCTTGTATTTTTTTACAAACTAAACAAAATAAAAAAAGTCTCTCCTCTAAAGATATAAATAATTTTTAGTAAAATTATATATATAATAATAATAATCTAGCTCATATTTAATAAAATTTATATAAAATCGTTATCACTCTCTCTATCAATTATAAAATAAAATTCACATAAAAAATATTTTTTCTCATGTTCCAAGGCTTCGCTTTGACTAATCTGGACCGACACCTCGTTTTGGTGGGTGAATATTTCGGCAGTTATTTTTTACATATATAAAAACTCAAACTCGAGACGTTAAGTAAATGATTTTAAATTACTTACTACTTTAATCAACCGATCGTACAAATATTTTATTCACTCCCGTGATAACGTACCACGAAATATAATAATAATATATTAAGTCATGGTCATCCACTATGGGCATCAGTTCCGACATTTCCTTATATATATGACCATCGGGAAAGCAATCTGGAAATCAATTTACAGTTCTTGTTTGGGCTGGGATTCCACTTCATTCAATCGTAGGTTTCGAAGTTCTTTCAAGCATTTCCTCAAACGCATTTCGAGCTTTTTATTTTTGGACGAAAATTCATGGTTTTTTTTTAATGCCAGGTAAAGCTGTACGTGAGAGAGTGAGCGGCGATGAGTACAGTAGCGGTGATCGGAGGTGGGATCAAAGGTCTTGTTTCGGCCTACGTGTTGGCCAAAGACGGCGTTTCCGTGGTGGTTTACGACAGTGAAGACCGATTAGGCGGCCATGCAAAGACCGTCAACTTCGATGCCGTCGATCTAGACCTCGGCTTCGTATTCCTTAATCCAGTAAGACTGTCAGTCTGTCACTGTCTTTCTAAGTTGTTTGTACTTTGAAAAATCCTTTAAGTGAGTCGTCACTATAGTATATACTTTTAGGTTAAATTACATATTTAGTACTTAAACTATTAATTTTAGTCAGTTTTAATATCTAAACTTTTAATTTTTTATAAAACATACTTAATATTTAGTTTTCACTTCATTTTAGTACCCGCCGTAGAAAAACTTAACGCATTTAGTACCTAAACTATCGATTTTGGTCTGATTGATTTCAATATTTTCAAAACTTAACAATAAATTTTGAACTTGAGTACTAAAATGAAACAAAAATTAAAGTTTTAACGGCGTGATAATAAAATGAAACAAAAACTAAATTTTATTAATGATTTTTAAAAAAAATAAAATTTTAGGTACTAAAACTTATAAAAACTGATAGTTTAGATACTAAACACATAATTTGAATCGGGTCGATTTTTTAATTTTTTAAAATATATTTTTAACGGTAATTAAATCTTTTAATCTAGAATTCAGCATCCATTTTTTTTAAATTTTCATATATTTTTCTCCATTTTAATATTAGAGTAAAGTTTAATGATCAAATTATCAAAACATTAAAGTACTTCTAGACAATATTTATTTATTTGATTCTTGCTATTATCTTTATAGATAGTGGTTGAGAGAGAGAGTGAAATAAAATATTAAATATTATTAAATTTATTTCATTTTAACTTTTTAATAATTTAAATAATCAAACTTGTGGTTGCACACTTGAGCCGGGTAAATCAACGAGATAATGCTCTCGAAGTTTTTATTTCACGAGATAATGCAGTGCTCAGATTAATTGCTCAAATGGGGTAAATTCTACAGTGATGGCCGTAGGTCGCCATGCCATCCGGGCGACCTACGACGTGGCAGCATCCAGATGAACCACCATAGGTCGCCATGCACGCCCGACGTCCTTATAGGTCGCCATGCAAGCCCGGCGTCTTTATAGGTCGCCATGCACGCCGATCTTTGCTATGCATGGCCATGCACGGGGCATGTGGGAGCGAGAGCTGTGCGGGAGCTATGCATGGGCCATGCACTTGGGGTGTAGGTCGTCATGGAGGGATAGGGTTAAAGCTTGGTACGCATGCATGAGGGATAGGGTTAAAGCTTGGTCGCGATGCCAGAGCTTGGTCCATGCACAGCTCCCGCTCCCACATGCCCCGTGCATGGCCATGCATAGCAAAGATCGGCGTGCATGGCAGACCTATAAGGATGCCGGGCGTGCATGGCGACCTATGGTGGTTCGTCTGGATGCTGCCACGTCGTAGGTCGCCCGGATGGCATAGCGACCTACGACCATCACTGTAGAATTTACCCCATTTGAGCAATTAATCTGAGCACTGCATTATCTCGTAAATAAAAACTTCGAGAGCATTATCTCATTGATTTTGCCCGCCTAAGTGCGACCTTATAGTGTCCTTTCATTTTCCTCGGTTCAAAATATAATTAACGTACTTAGAATACTCGTACAACCGCGTAAGACTAGGGATGGGCATTGGACTCGAACTTAAAGGTTTCGACTCGACTTGAAATTTTTTTAAAAAAATTTGATTTCGGGTCGGATTCGGGTTTAGGGTGAAAATACCCGAACTGACCCGAAAAATATATATAATTTTACCTTAAATATTTAACAATAATTATAATAATATCCTTTATATTTTTTTTTCAATTAAGTCACTATTTTTATTGAATAAAAATATTTTTTTATTATTTCGGGTCGGGTGAAAACTTATTTTGGTCGAATCGGGTCTCGGGTGGAGGACTCCTTGTTCTCAAGGTCGGGTACCCGACCCTTGCCCATTCCTACGTAAAACCGTCGAATAATTATCATTATTATAAATTTTTATATTCTTCATACAACTTTGAATTTATCTGTAGATTAGTAATCTGAAAGCCTTTTCTAAGTATTTATTTTCAATAAATTGAAATGTCTACCTGTCGTTATACTTGGGGCCTGATGTGGACCAGCTTTATTAAGTTAGTCAATGTATTTCAGTTTAGGTGAACTACGCATTTAGTATCTAAGCTATAAGTTTTGGTCGTTTTAGTATCTAAACTTTTAATTTTTTTAAAATCATTTATAAAGTTTAGTTTCTGTTTCATTTCAGTATCACATCATTAAAAATTTGACGCATTTAGTACCTAAACTATCAGTTTTGGTCCGTTTTAATACCTAAGCTTTCAAGTTTTTCAAAACCTAACGTTAAAATTTGAACAGTATATTAAAATGAAACGAAAACTAAAGTTAAAATAAACAAAAACTAAAGTTTAGTTATGATTTTGAAAAAATTGAAAGTTTAGATACTAAAATGGGCTAAAACTAATAATTTAGGTACTAAACTCGTAATTTAACCTTAATTTTAAGATAAGATTGACAATTAGTTTATGATTAGTATACTTAGTTAGTGCTCCTAATCAAATAATTAACGTGCAATTTCATTTTACCATATATAGAGAATATTAACACGTACATGATCGTGAACTATGATCTTTGAATATAGATCGCAAGGCAGAGGATCGCAAATGCATGGAATCTGTTCTATGAGCTCCAAGATTTTCTATGTTTTTGTTAAGAAACAATTCATGGACTTATATGTATACATGGGAAACTTGACAGGCGAGATATGCAACACTGTTAGAGATGTTCGATAGCCTTGGAGTTGATGTGGAGACATCCGATGTTTCCTTCTCGGTTAGCCATGACAAAGGCGATGGCTACGAGTGGTGCAGCCAATATGGCTTTTCAAACTACTTTGCTCAAAAGAAGAAGCTGTTGAATCCTTTCAACTGGCAGAACCTCAGAGAGATCATCAAATTCGGGAACGACGTCGAGAGGTTCAACCTTTCTCGATTTCACGATTCCTCAACTGCCCTTATTATGTGTTTTCCTGATGTATATCCACTTGTGTTGTGCAGCTACCTTGGATCAGTTGAGAACAACCCTGACATTGATCGTAATGAAACCTTGGGAGAGTTTATTAAGTCAAAGGGCTACTCTGAAAATTTTCAGGACACTTTTCTAGTGAGCTGCTGAAGGATATATATGTTTCATCCAATTGTTTGTTGAGATTTGTTTATACTAATTAAATCATTGAAATTTGGCAGGCTCCCATATGTGGATCAATGTGGTCAAGCTCCAAGGAAGATGTTATGAAGTTTTCAGCCTTCTCTGTTCTTTCGTTTTGTCGTACTCACCATCTATACCAGGTGTTTGATTAATTTCCCAAATGAATACTACCTAGTCATAAGACCTGATATGCTGATTTCGTTTGTTGATCTTGTTGTTTTCCATTTCCACCCTAAGCAATTTGGGCAGCCTCAGTGGTTGACTATCAAAGGGAACTCACATTTTGTTAAAAGGGTGAGCACTTTTACTAGTTTCCTAAACTCTCCGACTCCATATGTGTTCATCTTATATCGTGACATAGGTTGTTCAAAAGTAAAAAAACTCGGAGGTTCTACTGATGTAAACTAAATAAAAGTGTGTTCTGATTCAATAAAATCAGGTCAGAGAAGTGCTGGAGACTAAAGGGTGTCAATTTAAACTTGGTTCTGAAGTAGAATCTGTTTTGCCTGCCGATAAAGGTGAGTGATTGTGCTCCCCTTCTCATATTTCCGTGTTAAGTTTTGAATCAGGCAACACGGGCTCTTTCCTTTGAGCATCACTTTCTTGAAAATTCCCATATAGACGCAAGACATTTTTTCTATCTGAGATTTATGGACCTCCAAGGATAATTGTATAAATGGATTATCATGTGTGGAGATGTTGCTCTTTCCTTTGAGCATCACTTTCTTGAAATTTCTCATATAGATGCAAGACATTTTTCCTATCTGAGATTTATGGACCTCCAAGGATAATTGTATAAATGGATTACCAGGTACCACCGTGGTGTGTGGAGATGATTCCGAAGAAACTTACAGTGGATGCATAATGGCTGTTGATGCTCCCACGGCCCTGAGAATATTAGGAAAACAAGCAACATTCGAAGAAACAAGAGTATTGGGTGCAGTCCAATATGCTTCCATGTACTACAACTTATACCCCCTCTCTGATCTATATACTTAATGTTGTGCCTACCTGCATTTCAAAATTAATATGCGTACAAGTTGATATCAGTAAACGATGACTCGATCTAGTTTACGATGTCAAAATTCATTCGAAGACAGGAACTTCGACCTTCTAGAGCTTACTAAAATTCAAGAAAGCTGATCAATTTTTCTGTTCGCAGTGATATGTACCTTCACCAGGACAGCAGTTTAATGCCACAAAACAAATCAGCTTGGGGTGCACTGAATTTTCTCAATACTAGAGAAAATAAAGCAAGCTTAACATATTGGCTTGATGCACTGCAGGTATGCGGCAAGTTCTTTGAGTAAACAAGATGTTAAACTTGTCATATTTCATCTGTCTCGTCAGAATTACTAAAATAATTGGTTGTTTATCAAGTTGTAACTTTTGAGTAATGCTGCTGATTGGTTCTTATTACTTTTTCAGAAAATTGAGAAAACAAGTCAGCCATTTTTTGTGACAGTCAATCCAGACCATACCCCAAAGAAAACCTTACTTAAGTGGTCAACCGGCTATGCAATTCCGTCAGTTGGTGCCTCAAAAGCTTCTCTTGAGCTTGGTCAAATTCAAGGGAAGAGAGGAATCTGGTTCTGTGGTGAGATATTTCCGTCATGAAATCACTAAACATTTTGAGCAATAGTATTATGAGATTCATCCATTTCAAGAAAAGTAATTGCTCTTTTAGTACTCTTGTAATAGATGATTATCAGCGAAGTATTCTTGCTGCTGGCAGTGTGCTGTGCTTATTAGCTAGACAGTTAAATTTTATTAGTGTTATCATTATACGAAAATGATGCATCATGTCGACTGCCTCTCATCTGAGTATCTGTTTATGATTTTTTCAGGTTATGGCCTCCATGAGGATGAATTAAAGGTAGGCATCTTATGATTTCAGCTTATTTATAACTTTAACAATGATTCAATCTTATAAATGCCTTTAGTTTAGGCTGCAACGAACTTACAAGAACTTGCAACGCATTCTAATAAAGAGCTCTTTTTTTTGCAGGCTGGCATGGATGCTGCACATGGTTTCTTGGGAAAGAAGTCTTCTGTTCTGCACAGTCCAAAGAATATGGCACCGTCTTTCATGGAAACAACGGCACGCCTCTTTGTTACTAAATTCTTTCAACAATATATATCCGTGGGCTGCGTAATGTGAGTTCTTAAATATGATCACTCTTTTAGCATTTTTTATTTCAGTACATGTTTTTCTTCTTGAATTTGACACAATTTGTTGTGTGACATTCGCCAGTTTCTCAGAGGAAGGAGGCAAAATTTTCACTTTCAAAGGAAACATGGAAAAATGTCCTCTTAAAACAGTCCTGAAAGTGCACAATCCTCAGTTTTACTGGAGGGTAAACTCTACTTGAATTTTCGACCATGTTGGATTAGTTGTTAATATTATAATATAGTGCTAATGGACATTGGGTACGTTTTCTCCCAGATTATGAAAGAAGCTGATATAGGCCTTGCAGATGCATATATCAATGGAGATTTTTCTTTCGTCGATGAAAATGATGGTCTTCTGAATCTTTTCCGGGTAAGAAAAGGTTCACAAGACCTGTTCCCGTAAATACAGTACAATTTATGATATCATAATCTTCAATGACAACTTTGCAGATACTCGTTGCCAACAAAGAGAATTCAGCTACCTCAAATAAAAGAAGGTTTGTTATAGCTTGAAGAAGAATCTCGATTGCGATACTAGTAGAATCCGTAAACAAATCAGTTCATTAAGCATGGACGTTTAATTGGTTGCAGGACTTGGTGGTCACCTGCACTGTTAACAGCTAGTATATCATCGGTAAAGTATTTCGTGAAGCATCTCATGAGACAAAATACCATTACGCAGGCTCGTAGGAACATCGCTCGTCATTATGATCTGGTAAGTAATCATGACTTTGGTTACAAGGTATCATAAAAACATATGCAGTATGCACCCTCCAACAAGTTATTTGTATTACAACTTGCAAACTTTGTCCGGATAACTCTCTGTTAAGGAACTATGTTACTAACTCGGTGTTACCATGCACTAGCCACGGATAAGTCTATTTTCAACTGGATTTATCAAATCAAAGCTAACCAATTCCCTGCAAATTTTGTCTGCAGAGCAACGAGCTTTTCACTCTATACTTGGGTAAAATGATGCAATACTCTTCTGGAGTTTTTAGGGTCAGGATCTCAACTTATGTCTCTTTCTCTAAAAGTGCATGAACATTTAGATTTTATCTTTTAGCGTTGTGACATTGATATTAAGCTACTTTACAGACGGGAGAAGAGCACTTGGACGTCGCACAGCGAAGAAAAATCAGTTCCCTAATTGAGAAAGTGAGCATCCATGATGGTCTCGTCATTATTCTTTACTTTCTTTTGCTATGATAATTTATTTGATTGTGTTCTCTGATACATTCAGTCAAGGGTAGAGAAGTGGCATGAAGTTCTCGATATCGGGTGCGGTTGGGGAAGCTTAGCTATCGAAACTGTCAAAAGAACAGGATGCAAATACACTGGCATCACTCTATCAGAGCAGCAACTGAAATATGCTCAAGAAAAAGTGAAGGAAGCTGGACTTGAGGTATCCATGTCCCAAAAAACCCCGGCTTCTGTCTGCAAATAATTCTGATTTTCACCTTGTTTCCCATAGCTAACAAATTTCTTAACATCAGGATAAAATCAAAATACTTCTCTGCGACTATCGCCAGTTACCTAAGCAACACCAATTTGACAGAATCATATCTGTGTAAGCTATAAATTCCCCTCAAACTTATATTTAGTAATTACACGACAAATAGTTTCAACATTTTGCAATTATGTTCTTCAGAGAGATGGTAGAACATGTTGGTGAAGAATACATTGAGGAGTTTTACAGATGCTGCGACCAATTATTGAAGGAAGACGGCCTTTTTGTTCTTCAGGTAATGTTAAAATGGAGAAAATAGAACTTTCGCCTTCGTATTAGGCCGAAACAATTCATTGATGTCCAAGAGTGGTCTTTTGTTTTTCTTTTTCCTCAGTTCATATCAATTCCAGAGGAGCTTTCCAAGGAAATTCAGCAAACAGCAGGTTTCCTAAAGGAATATATCTTCCCTGGTGGAACCCTGCTTTCTTTGGACAGGAATTTGACAGCCATGGCTAATGCAACAAGATTCAGGTAACACCTTTCATTGTTTAGACAATCGGACACGCGTTTTTCCTTGTTCGACAGTAGAAACTGATCAATGATTATTGCACGACTGCAGTGTGGAGCATGTCGAAAACATCGGAATCAGTTATTACCACACGTTGAGGTGGTGGCGAAAACTTTTCCTGGAAAACACAGGGTACTTAAGCAACTCTCTCCTCCTACACATTGTGCCGATTTTGATGGGCATGAGAAGTTCATGACGATTAACATATTTTGTTTTCCTCCTCAGCAAAGTTCTGGCTCTGGGGTTCGACGACAAGTTCATGCGGACATGGGAATACTATTTCGATTACTGTGCTGCTGGTTTCAAGACCGGAACCCTTATAGATTACCAGGTAAACTCCATACATACATACATACAATATTATAGTCTTAGACTCCTTAATCATGTCAAATAACAAGGATTCCCATATATCGTTTCATTACATGTATATGTGGAAGAATTTAATCCTTAGGCTTGCTGCTATGAATGAATGCAGGTTGTATTTTCGCGGGCCGGCAATTTCGGTACACTCGGAGATCCGTACAAAGGTTTCCCGTCAGCGTATTCCTTCAATGATGAATGAGCTTTGTGCTGAATATCGATCCGGAAATAAGCAGGCTCTAATGACGATCATCGCAGACCGATTCAACTGGCTGCTGCTACCAGTGTTTGGAACAACCTGTTTTCCCTAGTCCTTACTTGTGTTAATGGTTATGTTCAATGCAAGAATAAGCTATATATATATATATATATATATATATGAATAATGTTTGTATCTGGTAGACTGGTTGGATGTTATGTATGAAGGTTTCACAACTTTTAATGTTGCCTGGTTTCACCACTTTCAAGGCTCTGCTTAGTCTCTACAAATTTTCTTATTCAAATGTTCTCAACAGTTAAAACTATAAGAGAGAATAGTCGATCAGTTATCAAAATAATTATATCGCATGATCAAACGGTGTCAATTGATTTAATGTATCATATTAATATTTTATTATCTTAAAAATGATCAAGACACTGATTTATTATAAATAAATGATTAAAGTATTACTTTTGAAATATCTGTAGATAATAGTCATAATTAAATTGTTATTTTGAAATATCAATAGAAAAAAATTATTTAAACAGTAATGATTATTTATATAAAAAAATTAGAGAGAGCAACTTCGTGAGAGACCTTCGAATTATGAGATGTCCTCTGTGGGATTCGATCTCACGACCACAAGAATAAGAGCCTTGTGCTCTACCAACTGAGCTGGACGGGCATTTCTAATGATTATTTATATAGTTTACTCTAAATTAAAATATTTAAAATTATTTTTTATTAAGTTAAGGTGATTACAAAGTAATATATGTTCTAGATATTTTCAAGTTCAATTATTTGACAATGAACGCTCAATTATTTTGTTGCAGTCGCTGGTGCTCGAACACGTGACCTCTAGGAAAACGATTCCTTTAATTATTAAGATAAGTTGGTTCGTGCAAAATTAATTAAATTTAGATTAAATGTTTACAAATAGGTTAAATAAACTAGGCTTAATATAAAAATAAGGGTCCAAATTATACACTTTTCTCATTTAGGTGTCTAAATTATTTTTTTAGTGAATACGGGTTCCTAACATTTTCAACATTATATTTTTAGGTGCATAGACTGTTACCGCCATTAAATTATGTCATTAAATGAAACGTGTCGTCTCTATAAAATTTTAAAAACTTATATTTTTTTAAAAAAGTAAAATTTTTAAAATTACCTACGCATTAGAGGCGAAATTAGAAATTTATTATGACGGGTTAAAATATTTTTTTATTTCACATAAATACAATTTTTTAATCTATAGGGCCTTATAAAAATTTTATTTATTTATTTCTTAAAAATATATATTTTTATATTAATTAATAATTAAAAATACAATTGACGATATCAAGGCTCCCCTTGTCCTCTCCGATTCCGCCCAAGCTAAGTATGATATGGATCACTAATGAAAGAATTTAGCGTCAATTATAATCGAGACATTTGAAAATGTAACATTTAGACAATAAACAAAATGGGAAAAAAATTAAACAGAAAAAATTATATAAAAAAATTAGTTAACCCTTATTCCATATGTAAGGGGGAGGTAGGATAGTAGGTTGTCCCCAACGCTAGGTTGAGAGCAGCTTCCATAGTAGACCTCCAAATTATGAAATGCCCTCCGTGGGACTCGATCCCACGACCCCAAAGTTAAGAGCCTTGTACTCTACCAACTGAGCTGATGATCATTTCTAAAAAAATATATATAAATTGACAGTTATTTTTGTATTAAGCGAAATAAATTAATTAGTTATGAACACTCTATGAAACCAACATATAATATAAACCCTAATTTTCGCATACTAGTATTTGGTTTACTGGAATCCTTGGAATTAGGGGAGATTGAAATCCAATTCCACCACTTTCCCATGTTTGGTTCAAGTTTTTAAAGGGGAATTAGAATCTAATTTCATCAAGGGAGGGAAAGTAAATTATATCATAACATGATAGAATTGAAATCTTTTAGAGGAGGGAATGTGAAATTTGACCATGCTACTCTTATCAATCTTTTGGTAACTTATTAACATATTTTGATTGGGATTAGGGATGACCACTCAATCTGGACCCGACGGGCTTCGACCCGACCCGATCGAGACGAATTTTTTTAAAAAATTCGGGGTCGGTTTTTTTTAAGTTTGATATTCTGGTCGGGTCAGGTTTTTTAAGTGTGATATTTGGGTCGGGTTCGGGTTTAGGGTGAAAAATACCCGACCCAACCCGAAAAAAATATATAATTTTACCTTATATATTTATGAATAATTACAATAATACCCCTCTATATATAATTTTTTTCAATTAAGTCATCGTTTTTATTGAATAAAATATTTTTTATTATTTCGGGTTGGGTTGAGTTTCTAATTCATATATTCGGGTCAGATCGGGTCAGGTGAAACTTTATTTTGGTCGGGTCGGGTCTCAGGTGGAAGTTCCCTTGTTCTCGAGTCGTGAACCAAAAACCCGACCCATGACTATCCCTAATTGAAATGATTTTAACTTATGATATTTATTAGTATAATTTTTATAATTTATTAAATGAATAATCAATCAATAAAATAAAAATTTAATATTTTTTAATTTTTTATAATATATTACTACATGTAAATTATAAAACAAACTAAAATTAAACAAAAAAAATAAGAAGGACAATTTTTTCATTTTATATTACTGAAATCAAATTCATCTGACATGTCTACGAACCAAACATGGTGAGTACAATTACTTCGCACATTCCAATTCACCCACAAACGTTACATATTCCAAAAATGGTGAGTACTATCTTCTTTCTTTTTCACGTTTCCCGATCATATATTTTGATTTTCATTTAATTTTTTACGTGATTCTTTTTAGCCGTTCAAGAGGTACGTTGAGATCGGGAGAGTGGCTCTCGTTAACTACGGAAAAGACTACGGCAAGTTGGTTGTCATCGTTGATGTCGTAGACCAAGACAGAGTATGCCCCCTTCCCAGATTTAATGCAGCATTGATTTTCATTTAAAGTTGTCATTTTTAGGTGTGTTGTGGATTTGTAGTGATGAAGTGGAGTTTGGGTTTTTAGCTATTGAAGTCAATGTTGTAATGGGTGTTTAAGGGTAAATTCAATAGTACATCCTGGGTTTTAGGGTTTTTAATGCATTTTTGTTTCTTATACCAAGTTAATTGGATTTTCAATCTGGTTTTTTGTTCGGGTTCTCTGTGTTTATCTTGTTGAGTGTACTTTTGTTTGAAATATTCATTTCATCTGCAAATTGCTGTAGAAATGAATCTGCCTTATGTCAAGTCATTTGGTATTTCAAGACTTGTGCCAACACAATGTTTACTTTACACTTGGGTAGGAGTGTCGGATATTAGTATGATTTAAGCTTATGTGCTGAGTTTTACTGTTTATTTGGAGGGTCGGGGCTTCATTATGCACCTCGGGCTCGAGAGGTTTGATGTGTTCTATGAAGGTACTTCAGGAAGAAAAATGAAGATTCAGAGAACATCAGTCTAATCCTATGATGATTGCGTGTGGATGGTTCGTTATCCGCAATTGTTGTTTTGACTTGTTAATTACCGTATATATGCATGCCATTGTACTTGATGAACAATGTTAGCTTATAGAACGGATAGAATGCGGAGCTTTAGCGGCCATTGAAAGATGTAATTATTGAGTTTATAGGTAGGTGATATTTGCCAAAGTGGAGCTTCAGTGGTTGACTGGTTGTGTTTTTTATGTGGCAGGCACTTGTTGATGCCCCAGATATGGTGAGAGGCCAAATGAACTTCAAGAGGCTTACATTAACAGATATCACAATTGACATTCCCCGTGTTCCAAAGAAGAAGACATTGATTGAAGCTATGGAGAAGGCTGAAGGCTGGTAAGGATGATAATTTTACTGGCATTGAAGTATCGTTTCTGAAAGTAATGTTTCCTTTCGAGTCACTTTTATGTTGACTTGCAGATGTTAAGACCAAATGGGAAAATAGCTCATGGGGTCGAAAGCTGATTGTCCAGAAGAGAAGGGCATCTCTCAATGACTTTGATACCCAAATTGCGTCTACTCGTTTTATGCTTGATTTCTTTGCAGATAATGCTTTCTAGAAATTCGAAGTTGACAAAGCTGTAATATATTGTTTTGCAGAGGGCCGGAGTCCTCAGGCAAGAGCTTGCTAAGCTGAAAAAGGAGAATGTATCTTGAATCATGGATTTTGCTATTTTTGTCACCGACATTCTGCAGCTTCTTTTCATATTTTTCTTTATAGCTTGTAGTGATATGGTGCTTATCACTGTTATTGCTTGATGCAATTTTTTTATTGAACTTCTGGTATTTATTTATACAGGACAAGGAATCCACTAGCACTATGCTGGGACATGATTATTCCCATTTTATTATATTTTTGTTCTACGAAGTAATCTTATTAGTCGATGTTAGTAATTTGGATCAACCCAGCAACAGAATCTGGTTAAATTAAAGTGCATAACTCAACTTTCGATCTGTTATGTTTGCTGCAACTGTGAACCGAGTAGCAGCTTGATTTTTCTCTACTTTGCATTGCCGACTTTTATGAAACTATGTTTGGGAAGGGCATGCTGCGTCAGTGGTTTCACCAGCAGCTGCAGGTGCTGGCGGTGGTTGAAGAGAGGATGGTGAGGCTGATGGTTTGATGTACCTCATAAGCACCCTATCTTTATTATTGCTCCACCATTCTTCAGCCTGTTGCTCGGCGAACTTTCGTTTGCTGCAAAAAATGTTGAGAGTCGGTACATCAGCAAAACAATTTTGGTTCACCGGGTTTTTATTTATGTAGATGGTGCATTCGGTTGTCTATGTGATGCATCTAAATTTGATCGAATGTGTGAGACTGAGAGGGGAGCTATTTCAGTAAAATCACCATTAAGTCAAGTACCTGAATCTAACTCGTTTGAAGATCTTCCCTCTATTTGGGTGATTAACACAAGTGATGTAGACTCCGGGTTTGAATTGCTCAGTAAGTTGACCCGAGTTTGGTTGAGCTGCAGCATTTCCCACTATCATTAGACGGTACAGTACCTGTGGTTTTCCAAGGTTGCTGGCGTCTGGTTTTCCATAAGTGCTTAAGAATGATTCAGCTTGAGTATTCATAGCTTTAAAGGTTTCACTTTCGGAAACCTCGGAAGGCATCTCGAATAGTTCTTTCAACTGTAGAACAATATCGACTTGTTATCGGTAGGTAACATCGTAGATGGCATGGTTTACATCTGGTGGCGAACTGAAAAGCGAGTTAAGTTAAATTTACCTCATCTGTTATGGATTTCACAACTTCCTTGGCCTCTTTAAACTTGGATGATTCCCTTACAGCATAAACAGCTGATTCTTGAACATTTTTCCATAGTTTCTGAATCTCCACGTCTTGTGTATCACATTTCTGCTTCAAACTTTTTACCTGTAACCGCTCGAAAGTAGAGAAAAACGGATTAGTTTTGATGGCAGGCTGCCCGGGTAACACAAGCATTGGATGAGCATAACAGAACAACGAATAGTTATATCACTAGTACTTGATTTTGCAGTTTTGACATTTCTTGGTTCAGAACTTCATTTGACCTCCTGAGGCTTTCAATAACATTCTTTGAAAATGTATTTGTGCTGCCCGGAGGACTTGGTCACCTCGAGTACGGTGAACTAGATCTCGAGTTCACAGGGGAATGAGGTGGTGGTGTTGCCGGTCTAAAAGAAGTTTGAAAAGGAACTAATGGACTTGGAATTGGAGCCTCCCTAAGCTGTAAAGGTGATGGAACTTGGGAAGCTCGCATTTGAGAATCATCGTATATATATATATATATATATATATATATTTAAAAAAATGAGTGGTGGTGAACTCAATTTTCGAATTTCTTATTTTTCACCTAGTCATTAGTCATTTAGTTGTGTAATATCCATAGCAAAATGTTGTATTTTGAGTAGTTTTATTTATGAAATTAACTTAATATTTTATACATTTTATATCTGATATTTTTTCCACCTTTGGTCATCTTCTGCTAAAGTAAATACAAAAATATTCTCTTTTCTCCATTCTTTCTTCTTCTCAATTTAATTTTTTCCTTTAATTCAATAAAACTCAAATCAAGGTTTCGACATTATCTTGACTCGATTTGCAATTTCATCGCCTAAAAGTCATTGAATAAAGTATATTACTTTTCTCTTCCTATCATTCAAATTTAAAAGAAAATACTATCATGTCGATGAATTATAGAAAGTCTAAAAGCATGAGTTTGAAGAGAGTTTTTTTAACTCAAAATTTAAACAAACAATCAAGTGGGAAAAAAATAAAAAGTTGAGCGGTAAAATTGAATACTTTTAAAGTTAGATGACCAAAACAGAAACACAATGAAAGTCAAATGACTAAATGTGTAATTTACCCTAAAGTAAAAAAATAAACAATGAAAAGCTTATTTAATGTTCAAAAAATAAATTCATATACTCAACACAATGTTATCCATGTCAAAGCATACATAGATTCTGAAATAAAAAAAGAACCAACATAGTTTATTAAATATTAGGATAAATTACACATTTAGTACACAAACAATAAATTTTAATTTGTTTTAATGCCTAAACTTTCATTTTTTTTAAAAATCATACCTAAAATTTAATTTTTATTTCATTTTAGTACCCCGCCGGTAAAAACTTTAATTTTTATTTCACTTTAGTATCCCGTTCAAAATTTAACGTTAAGTTTTGAAAAAAATAATGAAAGTTTAGATACTAAAACGGATCAAAAATGATAGTTTATGTATTAAACATATTAAAATTTTAGCAGCGGGTACTAAAATTAAATAAAAAGTAAACGATAAATATAAATTTGAAAAAATTAAAAAATTCAGGTATTAAAACGAACCAAAATCGATAATTTAAGTACTAAATGCGTAATTTACCTAAAAATTATTAGATACGAGAATTGTTGGAATGGCACCAATTACAAGGTATTATTAGCCTTTAACAATGGAAAACAAAGTTAAAAAGAGCAAAATGCGAAAACGGCATGCTTGGAACTGTTTGATCTCATAGAATGGCGGGATCTTTGTATCTTTTGAAAATGGCTTCAATATCTTCCATTACCTCCGAAGGCAAAGGTCGTGGAGTTGTCAAAAAAGCATCGATATCTTCCTTGAGCTGGTCGACCGAGGTCGCGCCGATGATTGAACTCGTCATAAATGGCCGATCCCGTACGAATCCGAGCGCGAGTTCCACCGGAGTCAGTCCATGCTTTTTCGCCGTTTCAATGTATTTTATCGTAGCTTCCTGAAATCCCACCAAAATGTCAATCATTAAACCAACCATAGCGAGTGGAACAGGATAAAATGGACTCATACCCTGGCAATTGACTTGTTATATCTTTCCATATAGCCAGGAAAAAGGTTCATCCTTCCTTTCTTCGCTGCTTCGGAGTCGATATCTAGATATTTTCCGCTCAGTGTTCCACCGCCGAGCGGAGAATATGAAAGCAAGCCGATGTTGCAATTCTTCGGGTGGCAAACTTCAATCAGGTCAACTGCAAAGCACAGAGTTAACTCTCTTAAATATGTTGTTTTCAAACAAAGTCCCCGAAAGTGCATGAGGAAACGAAATCGTGATTAAGCGTTTCCGGAACCAATTACAGACGAATACTGTCCGGGGTGTTGTTTCATCTGTTGGCCATTGTATATGAATCAAAACTTCAGGGAATGAGTAACAGATGCAACAGCGAGATGTCGAGCAGTTATAGATAATAAAAGATGAACGTTTAAGTTCCGAAATCTATATACATATACACACACACACCCATAAGCTAGGCTATTATGATCCTTTTAGGTTTTCATTTATATAGTTTCCAAAGAGCTTTACCCTCGAAACGCCTGACCATCAGACTATAGCTGTTTTGGATACTAACGATCTTCGGTAGTCCTTCAACTTTAGCTGCATGAACAAACTCCATCACTCCATACGAGGTCTCGTTAGAAACTCCGATATAGCGTACCTAAAATCGAAAATAATCTGTATAAATCACAAGAGTATTGGTGGCATCCTCACACTACTGATTAACTATTCCATGTGAGTCATGTTGAACACCCATATACAAGGAAACAAGGGTATATAACGCTCCGAGGACTCTCCAAATACATAGAAAAACTTACAAGATTAACATATCCGACACAAACGAATCCGAGTAACATAGGATTTTCAGCAGCATTTTGATCAGCTTCAATGCTGTTTTCTACCACAAAAATAGTGCGCACAAATAAGATCAAACTTAGACAAGTATTACCTTTCCTTCATCAATAATCTCCTGAAAAGCCTTAAGTTGCTCCACAAATGGGATGCTTGGTCTCCATTTTGAAGAATCATAGAAATACTCGCCGAACAACGGCACATACCGATCTGGCCTGATTGAATGTTGAAATAGAGTATAAACCTCAGAAAAACCATAAGTTCGAGAAAATATTGTTAAATGTCCGTGCTCCTTAGTCAGTCATAGAAACACAACTATATAATTAGATTGCTCCTACTTACTGCTGGAGAAAAAGGCCAATATAAATGAATCGGTTCACAATGAAAATGAAATCAAGACATTATGCTGGAGATAAGATGTAGCCTATAGTGCCAAGTCCGTAAAGGCCTACCATTAAACAGATGCACTTAAGAAAACTGCAATCTTACCAATGAATTTGCAATAAATCAATGTAATCAGTGTTGAGACGCTGAAGGCTTTTCTCTACACTTTCTCTAATATTAGCAGCATCGACCCGCAAAGCTTTTATACCTTCCCGTTCCCGTAGATAAGTCGATCGCTCTGAATAGCCACACACTTTTGTTGCCAAAATAACCTGTAAATCAATGTGATCAGTAAAAGCAATGAAAATGGCACATAACATTCTCAGACAATGTTAGAAAAATTCAGCAAATATGAACACTGAAAACCAATACTCTACAGTCTACTCACTAGAAAGTACTAACATTTATCATGATTCATGAACGCTCATCGAGTGATTCGTGAGGGATAGGCCAATACAAGGGTATTTTGAATGTTTGCTAATCAATACCATTTGAGCATTTAGAGAAATTGAAGCAGAAGAATCAAAATTTTCATAGACATCTATCAAGGAGATCCTACAAAGGCAAACGAAACTATACCATCACCAATCACCATAAAAACAAAAGCAGGAGCACATATATAAGTCATCTACTATGCGAAAAAGTACCTTATCGCGAGGCTGAGAGTTCAGCCAGCTAGCAATGAAGAGATCAGTTCTTCCATTCGTCTCTTTCCGCATGGGAATCGGGTACTGCAAAACCGAAAGCACAAAAACGAGAGAGTCAATGTCACTGCAACAACATCAAACTACATAAAATCACATCTTCGAAACCTCTATAGGAGCATTTTCCATAAAGGCAACGTAGTTCAATAAATAAAAATCAACCTGCTTGTTCTCGTTACATTTCTAAATGGAAACAGAACTTACAGCTTCTGCAGTGTCGAGAGCATTGATGCCATGTTCAAAAGCATAGCTGAGCATTTCATGAGCTTCCTTCTCTGTATTTTGTTCTCCAAATGTCATCTGAACCAATTAAAATTAACATACATTCTAACAATAATAATAAGAAGAAAAAGGTACCCTTTGGCTACTGATTCTTAATCAACAGTCCAAAAAACCGAAGAAGGCAGAAAAAATATTTGAACAAAATTGAAAATACCCATCAACATGAAAGCAAAGTTCTTACGGTTCCCAAAGTGATTTCACTGATTTGAAGATCGGAGTCGCCGAGCTTCCGATACTGCAAGGCGACTTTGGCAGTGATGGCTGCTGACTTGAAAGGGCTCCTCTTGAGCCAAAGCGGCGTTCTTTTCACATCGGATAATCGTTGTACTGCGTGGCGTGGAAATGTAAAGGAGGACAGGCTAGTGGTTTTGCAGTCGTTGCAGCCAAGAAATGGAGAGACCAAAGAGAATATGGAAGAACCGGCCATTTTCGATCAATGCCTGTAGCACCCGTATCTCTTCAGCCTTATCCAAACATTACCTTAAACAGTTATACCACGCGTCGAGCTGGAGAGGGCTGAGGCCGGCAAAAAAAAAAACTTTAGGCTAAATTACCCGTTTTGATTCGTTTTAGCAAGGGATGAAACAAGGCAGGGTATGATCACACCCCTAGAAAATTAATTTTTATTTTATATAAATTATTTAATTTTGTACTCTTGAAATTTTATAATATCATAAGTCAAGGTTTTAATATAATTTTTTATGTTTGTGTCCACCGATACGAACTTATTCATCTATTCCGGGAACCTACACTTTGAATTTTTTAAAATCATAACTAATATTTAATTTTTTTTCTTCATGTTAGTACACTGTCGTTAAAAATTTAATGGAACTTTTTCACATGACATTTTTATGGTAAATTACATCATTCATTACTTAATTATTTTTTCACTCCTATTTTGATACTAAAGTTTAAATTTTTTTAATTTAACTACTCAATTTTCAAATCACTCATATTTTAATTACTCTAATTTATTTTATTAATAATTTTTGTGACATGATAATTATTATTATTTTATTAATATGTCATTAAAAATAAAAAATAAAATTGAAAGTTAGAATTATTAAATTAGGAGTAATTTGAAAGTTAAGTAATCAAATTAATAAAATTTAAACTTTGTTGACCTAAATAGGAGTGAGAAGATAGTTGAGTGATGAATAATATAATTTTCCCATAAAAAGATATCACCAAATCAACTGTTAAGTTTTTAAGGGAAAAAATACTAAAACGGACGATAACTGATAGTTTAGATATTAAATGTGTAATTTAACCTATTTTTTTTATAGAAACAATTAATTTTATTAAAAATGATAAAATATACAGAATTACAATAAAGATTTACAATCACAATTGTAAATTGAACATCTAATTAATATATTTTTCTATAACGATTAACACAAAAACTAAACACTTAAGATCACACAAGGATTATACAAGAAAAATGTTAAAAACCTAATAAAAAAACTCGAACAAAAGATAGATACAAACATATCTGATCTCATCGGCGAACAAAACACAAAAAGAGATCAAGCAAATGAAAAATCACAGACAAATGATAAATTAGAATATAGCGACATGAGAAAATTGTTCACGAACGCAAATCGTGTATCAAAATTCAATTCGATGGTCCAAAGAGGAAACATTAACATGATGAGAAATAAACACCATCTTGATCAGTCATGACAATTACAAATCTAACATTAAAAAAATTAAACAAAAATAGCGCCCAAATGATAGAGACATGCCAAAAGACATAAAAAATGCATTATAAAGACATAAAATCACACCATAGAAATAAAATTGTTATAAACTGAAAAAAGAAAGAAAAACAAATATTAAATTATACAAGTAAAAAGAAAATAAAAAATTCAACGGTTCTTCACGCTAGTATAACTTGGAGCAAACTTTATTTATTTTTATTGTGTTGTTTTCAGAACTCGACTAAGATCTCAGTCATTACTCAGGTTCAGTGGTGTCATCCGGAACCAAGATGGATTGCCCTTAACACCGATGGTGTCGTGTCGACTCACATGAAGTCAAGTTCGACTGGGGGTATCTTCCGGGATCATATGGGAGATTGTCTTCTTTCCACAAATCGATAGGCATTTCAGCGATCCTTGAAGCGGAATTACGGGGAATTTGTGAAGGTATTCAACTCACTTGACTATGGTTTCGAGAAACTAATTGTTCAGAGTGACAATGGGGGTACTCTCAAACTACTTTCGTCACCTTCATATTCGAGTCTCTTTGCTGGTGTTCGAGCCATTGCCCGTCTCCTCGACAAAGCCTGGGTTGTGTAATTTTTTAAAATTTAAAGGGGAGTTAATATGGCTTCCGATCTCTTAGCCAAGCTGGATGTTCACTCCTATGATGCACCCGTTGCAATCGATCATCTCCCAACTCAATTTCATGCTATTCTTCTTAGAGATTCCCACGGTCCACCTTACTCTCGTGTAACTGTTTGATGTAATGGTCCCTATTCAAAGAAAAAAAACATCGGTGACCATAGGCCAGTATTAAAATTGGTATCACCGTCATCACCGATTACTGCTATCAAAAAATGAAAAAAAAATACAAACATAACTCAGAGGAAGGGCAAAGAAAACTGAGGGTGTTTTATTTAACTATTAAACTTTTAATCATAGTATTATATTTTAATTTTAAATCGAATTATATAATTAAATTGTTAAATAATAACGATACAATAGTTCGCGAATGAATTTTTTTGATTATTTTGACAATATTCGATAAAGTGATCAATCACTAATCACTTATTGAATCGACCGACTGAATACTCGCAATCATGAGTAATTTAGGAATCTTTATCTGATTTAAAAAATATATATATTTTAGTTTTATTTACGTTTCATCTTTATTTTATGTTAAAATAAATATTAATTAAAATTATTTAAATTTTAATGAGTTTCTGATAATTATATAAATATTTAATCTCCGGTAGTGATTTTCAATAGATTCCATTCAAGTATCCTTCCAACCTTCCAAGTAAATGCTCTGACCAGCTACGCGGCGGCTAATAGTGTATAGTATATTTAATGCGAATTTCCTATTTTCATACAAGCATCACTGTTTTCAAGTTTTTCATTCGAGTTTCTCGGGAAAACAAGCTAAAAGAAAGAAGAAAACCAATCAAGTAGGGAAGTGGTGAAAGAAATGGATTCGATAAAAAAACTGGGATTTTCTGGATTTTAATTTCATCGATGAAAGTACTTATCAGGATCTTTCTGGAAAAAAAAATCAATTTAATACAGGTAACGTCTTCATCTGTTTTTTTACTTTTCTTTTTGTTTCAGTAGCGGTAAAGAAATTGAATTCTCATCTGGAACTGTTGCGCCTCAAGGAAACGAATTTGTCGATGGAGATTGCTCTCGCAAGAGTTATTCTTCTTTTCAATTTATTTCATTTCCCCCCCCCTATTTTCTCGTTGTTTTCTGGGATTTTAACTGCTCGATAAAATTCAGTTCCTACGCTCACACACACACACACATATATATATATATATATCCGTGGCTGATTCGGGTAGTTCCTAGAGCAATAAAAAATTGGGTTATAATATTGCTCGTTGTTGGAACTCTGTTCTGGGGGATATTAACTTTGTGATGATGTGCTTGGTTGTTGGTTCTAAAGGATGTATTTCCATTTTCTAGTTGGTCATATAGTCGACTCTTTTCTTTTATTTCGATGTCAATTTGGTCTAGTCAAGTAAATGGAACACATCGTTAGGAGTTGATAATTTTTTGTCTATGAACATTCAAATGATCTTTTCTTTTAGATTGCATCATAAATTCGAAGTCTTATTTTTCTTTTCCGTTTTACACCTTTAACAGGCCAAGAACGAACCCCGAGCAGAGAAGCTAGTGCTGAAGGCAAATAAAGAAAGGATAGAGCAGCAGCTGAAAACGATGACCGTTCCACCAACCGGGTATGTTCATGCTCATCCAGTGCCATATCATCCCGGGGCAAACAAGATGGCCGTTTTTCCCAGCTGCGGTTTGGTCCCGATGTGGCAATATTTACCTCCATCGGTACGAGATACATCTCAAGATCACGAGCTTAGGACCCCTGCAGCATAGTATTGTTTTGCATTGTTTTATTTCCGAGTATCCTCTGCGGTTCTGGCCTTGGCGGATCTGTTAATATTTACCTAGTTATTCTACGTAGGTTATGGTATTTGTATTATTTCATGAGATTATAGTGAAGAATTTATGATAGGACTAGATTCGCATAAAATGTTAAAAATAAACTATCTTTACAATTTGACCTCTTGAATAATGTCAAAAGTTCTAAACTCCGACGTTAAGGTATAATATTGCCTGCAGTCCATGCACCCTTCACATATTTATAAGTTTGAACTTTTTTGTACAATATCTACATTATCTAGATTTTTCTTCACTCGTACATCGAAGAATATTGAACACCAAATGTTCTTGTATATTGTACCAGTAACAACATGAATCAAGTTAAATTAATTCAACAATATTAAGTTTTAATTGTTTCGTAAAAAACAATACTGAAGTCTGAAGAGCATTATAATGATGTAATTTACCCATAAAATGAAACAAAACAAGTTATGTATGATTTTGAAAAAATTGAAAGTTTAGGTGCTAAAATAAAACAAAACTGATAGTTTAAGTACTAAACTCATAATTTACCCAAAGTTTTATAATGAAATGGTACGGAGAACTTTTTCTTCTTATTTATGGTTGAATTAGCCTAAAATATGCAAGTTCAGACTTCGGAGCTGGATGGTTGGTTCTAATGATTATTGTTTTAAGTATTTCCTAGAGATCCTGTCATTTTTAGAAGTTAATTGCTTTCACACGAATTTATTTTTCTTAAAATACAATTTCGGGTACGGGTTTGGCAATCGAATAATATATCCGTGTCGGACATGTACTTGCACCCGAATCCGACTAACATAGTCAAGTGCGGTGTTAGATTTAATATGATGGATTCTTCTTATTGTCTAAACTTGCCTAATCTAGTAGTTGCTTCGATGCCCCCAATGTGTTGATGCTTCACCGGAATCCTATCGTAACCATTCTTGGTTTGCAAGTTATTGCACCTAAACAGATAACACTCGGAAGACTGTCGAAATAGCTTGATTAACCGCATTCATTATACATTAGTGACCTCTAATCGGTTCTTTCGTTTTCCGTAGATCGTGTATTTGCTGGTTAGCGCTCCTTTTCTCTACGACTTCTACATCTATTGCCCCAAATGGCCCCGATACTCGGTTCTGCTCGGCGATTTTCTGCAGGTATTTACATAGGTATATCCAAAGTGTTCCACGCACATTATGACCTGAAAACTTCATTGATCCTTTCGTTAATGGCAGTCTGTCGCACAATGCGGTGCATTCTTCTTCTTCTGGGGGATGAAGAACTCGATATAGGGGAGACAACTGAGGAAGAAAGTCCCGAGGCCGAAAACTAACTAGTTTTGGCTGTTTCGGATCATCAAACAGAAGTAATGCAGGGTAAAAGTTCATTTAGTACTATGGCCGGAGTTGCATTGTACTTGAACCTGCTAATGGTTGAGTCGAATTGATCCGAATGGATTAACTAGATTTTGAATGAGTTGCTTTATTTCGGGTTCAAGTGATCCTAGATTAACAACATTGTTCTTCAAACAACACAACATTCGATTTATACAAAGCTAAAACAATAACACAACATTATATTTATTCAAAGCTAAAACCCAGATCAAACATATAACCATACCTTAGAGGTTCTTTGTTTTTTCCCTTTAATCAGAGCTTTGGAGTGGCGATTGTTTTGTGGCCTAATCCCACAATAGCAGAAAGCTGGGGGAACAATCCTTTCCTTATCTCGGCGTAAACCTCGCCGTTCCACTTCCTCTTGCCCAATTCCTCCGCCATACGCACGCTCGCCACCCTCACTTCCGCCTCACCGTCGTACGCCGCCTGCACCACCCCTCTCTTCACCGCCTCGTCACCCTTCATCTTCACCCCCCGCAGCAAAATATCGCGGCGAGCCGAGGAGTCGCCGATCTTCTCTCTGAACAACGCGTTGAAGTAATCGGGAATCGTTAACCCTATGTCCACCTCGGACATGTAAAGAACCCCTCGGTCCCGCCTCATGATGATGTAATCGTGACACAACGCGAGGACGAACCCGCCAGCAGCGGCATGGCCGGTCAAGGAGGCGATGGTCGGTATCGGGAGGCTTAGAAAAGCGGAGACGACGGGCTTTAACGATTCCACCATGTGCAGTAACCGTTCCGAGACGCCTTGTTCGGATCCGGCGGCTTGAGCCCAGTCGAGGTCGAATCCATTGGAGAAGAATTTGCCTTGGCTTTGAGTGATGAGAGCCGAGCCAATAGTGGCTTGAGCCTTGACCTGAGAGAGAAGGGACAGAAGTTCGCCGATGAGATTCGGGTTAAGCCGGTGCTGACCGTCGCCGGTCAACGTTAAAATGAAGAGGTTGCCGCGTTTCTCTAAGGTATACATATTGAGATTCTACTTTTTCTACGCTATCGCTAATAGATTGGAAGCTACGCCGGGGTTTATCTTTGAATAATATAATATATAAGAGTAAACTATCAAAATGGTCATTTTTGTTTCTTAAGTGTTTGCTTTAGTCATCAAGTTGTGAAATACAATATTTTGATCACTTATATTATTGATTTATAACGATTTGAACACTAATATGTTAAATATTGTTAATTTGATGACATGACACGTTAATATAAGTGGTTAGTTTTTAATTTGACTTTTGATCTTAGATAAAATACTATTTTACCTACTAAATTGTAGATAAAATTTTATCAATATGACCATTGAACTATTTAAATGGTTTCAATATAGCCACATGTCGTTAATACTTAACGGAAGCGTCTATTTCGCAGTTAATAAAATTGGTATAATTAAGGCACGAGTCCTTATAAAGTTACGTGTTTGCGATTCTGGAACCCTACTTTATTTTCTTCCATTTTGGTCACTACTTGTGTACGATTTGCTTCCTTGGATTTTCATTTAACACAATTTGATCATGATTCTATTTTTAATTTGTCTAATGAATTAATTTGAGCATTAACTTTAAGATCTTTTATTCTAGTCATGTATTAAATTTATAGATTAGACCTCTTAGATTTTAGAATTAATTAATTTGATCATAAATATTAACTTTAATTCTTAATTTTTAACTATTTCATAGTTTTAATTTCATTTAAGTTAAGGGACTAGTTGCATAGTTTACGCAAAAGTTTAAGTTGGTTTAAAAAACACCACCTTTCTTTCCCACTTTTTCCCCCTGTTCGTGCCAAACCAGAAACATTCTCTCTCTAACCATTCTTTTTGTTTTTCTTCAATTCATCGCCGTGCAATGGTGTGCGACACCTTCGATACCATTATATTTGTCTCGTAAACCTTGTTTTTCTTTTCATTTTAGATTTTCATTCACCGTCGTCATTTGTAACCGCTGAATGTTCGAATAGTCAGATTTCGTAAAAACCTTTTTTCTGTCGATTTTTTTTCAAAAAACTGATGCTTGTAAGTGACTCATCGTGCCTTAAAATATTTTCTGACTTTTTTGTCTTCTTTCGGCCATCAGAGGAGGCCACATGCATCGCAACGCGCGAGTGGGCTTCGTTCTGTCAGTCTGACTGAACCAGTCTGACCAAACTGATTGTTGACCGTTGACTTTGACCGGTTAATTTTTTTCTAAAGACATCTATCTTTATATTTTTCGACGTCCTGAGTCTATTTCCGTCATATGTTTCACCATATTTTTACTTGACAGCCTTGTTGTGCGTTATTTATCGTTTGAAGTTTTAATTATGTTTAGTAAATTGTGAGATTTTGAACCTCACTTTTTAATGTTATTTTCTGAAGGTACTCTCGTGTCTTCGGACCTCTCTCCTATAGACCCCGATCACTCCTGTAATGTTCAGTTTGATTCCACTCGCACATCTCGAGATACACGTAACTTCTGTTTAGTGATTTTATAGTTTATTTCTGTTTAGCTATTGGCATTCGTTTTCATTTAAGAGTATTGTTTTTAGGTCTCCACTCCGCAGGACCTAGTATGATCAATGGGAAGCATAAGACTTGGCCAATGTTATTTAACAACTATAGGTGTGTCCCATTTACTTGTTCAATACTTTTGATATGTTATGCTATAATATTATATGTTACTGCTTGAAAGGATATTCGTAATCTGATTACATTTTATCTGTAATATTTCTTATTTCTAAATAATGTTACATCATTCATAATATGTATATTGATGCATTCCTCATTCTGTATGAGATTATATCCTAATTTTGATTATCCATGGATTAAATCTCTATCCTATTTCTGCATGAGATCCTTTATGGAGGGCAACATCCTTGCCCTACTTCTGATTTATGATGAATTCCACTTTGGAGGTTAACTCGAGCTCCTCTTCGAAGGGTAATATCCCTATCCAGATTTTTGTTTTTTGCTTTGGGTCAACTTTTGTGGTCCCGAGTTCCTTTAAGAAGGTAATGTTTTTCGTTCTGTTCGTCTATAACGAGAGGAAAGGTTGTAAGGAACTCTATATGATTTTCTAGTAATAAATATTTGATTTTACTGTTACATGATTATTTTATTGTTTTTATATCATGCATGTAGTATCTTAGTTATTGTTTGTATTTAGAGGACATACTAAACTTTGTAGCTCACTTGGTTTCTATTTTTATTTTCAGATTATCTAGAAGTATAACCAGTTTGGCAAATGGAGTAGTCTCGATTTCATACCGTGTGAGGTTAAATTTTTGCTTTCAACCTCTTTAAATTTGGCATGAGTTTATTTTGATATCGTATTTGATAAATGTTTTTAAAATGGTTTTTAAACAAATTTTCATCCCTAAACTATTTCTGGGGTCATCATGATTTCTCTGATTCAATTGTGACTCTTAGGCCGGGTCTAGGGGGTTATAGGTAGGGGTGAGCAAAACTTGACCCGACTCGAAAAACCAATTTTTTCGACTCGATTTGACTTCGAGTTAAAATTTCATAAACTCGACTTGACTCGAAAATATTTCAAGTTCAAATCGAGTTGTAATATGCAACTCGAATAACTCGAAATTTTTAGTAATTAGTGGATTTATTTTCAAGTTTGAGTCGAGTCATTCGACTTTATATGATATATGTATATCACATGTGAAAAAAACATGAAGAAACATATTTGTATTGTATATATGGATATAGAAAGCCGCTTAAATTGAAATCAAATAATATTATAAATATTCATAGTTAAATTTAAATAGAAACTCAAAAAATCGACTCGACTCGAGAAAATTTCAAGTCAACTTTGAGTTGTAAAGTAAGACTCGTAAACTCGAATAACTCGAAATTTTTTGACTCGACTCGATCGAACGCTCACCCCTATTTATATGACCATTTTATAACTTTTAACAGTCGAATGTCTCAATAAAATAACATCCTATAATCAGGGATCAATTGTATACTTTACCCTTAAATTTAATAGTGTTATTAGATTTTAAAAGTTAGGTCATAGTCATAACAGTGTATATAGTTGTTTGATATTGATAGAAATATATATTTAATAGGATAATAAATATTTTGAAGAAAAAAAATGGAAGTGTCAAGTTAGAATTTAGTTCGTAATTAAAATAAATCTGCCGGCGAGATTGGGAGATTCGGTTGATTCATGTTCCCAGGGAGTGTAGTTTTATTGCAGACAAGTTAGCGAGATCGGCGTGGAACCACCACCATGGATTGATGCTTCTGTCGGAACCACCGGTGGAACGCCGAGCTGCTCTTCGGGATTTGTCTGATGAAGGGGTGTAAACGTTTGCGATATATCATAATCTTTATTAAGGGATAATATGTGAGATTATTTATTAGAGTTTAGAATTTAATATTAATTTAAATTTTAAGGTTTACGATATATAATAATATTTAAATATTATTTATATAATTAAAACATTTTATTGATAATATATTAAATATTAGTTCATCGTATTATTGTTGGTTGAAAAGATGCTTTCGAATCTTATCTCTGACATTTCTCACGTATGAATTCAACTTTTTTCCCCTACCAACTATATCCGTATAATTTTCATCTTCGATTAAATAGTTATTTTTATTTTTTAAATATTTTAATTCTTAATATTTTATTTTAGATAAAATATATTTGTTTGGATAGAAAATGTTAGTTAATTGATTATTATTGTTTATCATTGATGTAACAAATCTTATGTATCCTAAATAATGATGTGATATATATTATTTATATATAAATGATTATGTGACATGTATCATATGTATACAAGTAAAAATATGATATATACCACATATTTTTTTATAAATTATTAATTAATAAATTAATAAATTTAATTAATACATCTGATCTTTTTAATAATAATAATTCATAATGATTGAAAAATATATAATTTTTCAAATAGTTGGGATTGGAATAAGCAATAAAATAAGTTCACTTCCCATTATTTTTATTATAGAGATTAGAGGGAGGAGATTAAATCAAAGCAAGCAGAGAGGCAAAGACTTGTTTGTCGCACACGCAAGCTACATTTTCTCATAAGAAACAAAGAACCTAGATTGAGATACTGTTGGGGATACCTATCCCAGTGAGTCCCTCTCCACTTTTACCCGAGGTATTAGGATCTAGAAACCTGTATGGCAACTTCACCGGTCCGTTTCGGTTCTTCAATTTCGGGTCATTGTTTCTAGTCTCAATGTTCGCTTCGATTTCGAGCAGCTTTGTCTTAAATCTTTCAAATGCAGCTAAGGCTTTTTCATCCGAAGTCCACTCATCCGAATCCCTTTGCCCAAGGTATATCTCATCGGCTGAATGCCGAGACAATATCTCAATGAGCGACACACCGATCATTGTTTGGTCCTGTGGGGTGATCGTTTTAAGTAAGGCCAAGTCAGGGTTTTCCTTGAGCTCCGCGTATTCTTTGCTGCCCGCTTCTGGCATGAACCGAACGCTGACTGTTGGCCTGTTAGGGAGAAAACCTGCATAAGGGTATTGGCCAAAGTTGACTGCTGCATGGAGAGCTGAAGCAATCCATATGAGGGTCGTGCATGATTGAACCAGATCGTGTATTGTGCTCATCCTGGGCCACCACGGTTGGTCTTTCAAGTCACCGTGGCCTTCGTTTCGAATCTCGTCCCACCATGATTGGAGTTCGATGTCCTTTTCCACTGCTTGATCTGATGTGTAGTAGCAACAGCAGTATTCCGTGACCCATGTTTCAATGGCTGACCAGATTTCTAACCCATCAACTGCAAACGGGTAATCCTTTAACACGAGGCTAATGCCATTGGGAGACCCCGAGTCCTTAACAGCCATTCCTCTGCAATGGATGATTCAAAAAGATGACACGGTCGATTAAATAAAATATTCATTTCGGTAAATTTCCAAGGGTTAGTTACACCAAACATCTCCGATTTCGGGTCATGCATGCCTTACCTCTTAAGCAGATCAGCAGGGAGAGCCTGCTCAGTGAAATTCCAACCCTTGTAAATGGCAGACGACATTT